AAAAGCCCCCTATTATATTCGTACTAAACGATGCGCTCTAGTCTAGTAGCTTAGACCTTAAGAAATAAGCCGAAATTGCTACGGCGGAAGACGGATTAAACGGTAGATATAGCTCGTTAAAGCGCGTTAAGTAATCGAGCGCGATACCTGCGTTATTAATAAGAAGATTTATACTATCTTCCTCTTACTCGGCGATATAAGCTACAAGGTTTAGTACCTCTTACTTATTATAGATATCTGCGGCGAATCTATATAGCAATTAGTAATACTAGTAGCAACTTCGATTTAATATAGGCCCTTAGAAGCACACATTTTCATATCTCCTAGTCTACTACTATATAGTCTTAAGGCTGCCTCTAACGCTTCCCTTCTCTTATTAACAATATATAGACGGCGGACACTATTAGCTATAAGTGTTTGTAATATTATTAAGCCGATTCTAGAGGCGCTACCGGTTAAGACGTATATTATATACGATACTAAGAAAATTTCGGACGATTAGAGAAGATAATAAGCTATAGGAAGGCTACTTCGTTCTCCGTAGGAATATGTTTAATACCTTCCCTTAGTAGGGATAGCTTGCTTTATAGCTAAGTTCTTAAATGTTAACCTTTTACGATACTCCTATATTATGCTTCGAGCTAGGAGCTAGGTACTTTTTGTCCCGAGACCCGCTATACTACTTCGTAAGTTAAATCGATATAGGGCTAGTTCTTAACGCTCGATAGTACGCGCCTTCGTCTTAGAGTTCCGTATTCCTCTAGGGCAATAATAAAGTCGTACGGCAGTCGTCTAGTAAAGGCTAGTCTAGCATGCTCTATATATCTAAGTACTGTATCTAATTTACTATTAGGAGTCCTAGAGCCTTCGTATCTATAGGGCAAGTATTGTAACTTTAATACTTATAGGTAAAGATCTCTCTAAAGTATAGACCTAACCGACGACAAACTCTCTAGACGACCTAAGTCGATTTATAAAGCTATAGGAAGGAAGTCTTATAGGGAAAACACGGGATAAGAACTTAACCGGGATACTACTATAGGCTAAATTCTATAATAAGGAAAGTTTGTCTATTAAGTACCGCATTAACGTATAGTAAAGAGAACCGAGTGCTTCTAAAATCGTATAAGCTAGAGCGAGCGTCTATAAGATTGCCGGACTTGTTCGTCGAAAATTTTCCTAGTATACTTTAGTATAACTATCGACTAACGTGCTACGACTACGACTCTATAGCTTCTCTTAGGGACGTCTCTAAGTTAGTCTAGCCTATAAGCCTATAGCGGCGGAGCAACTCTTGCGATCTGTCCGTATCTATAGTTATAATATCTTTCCCTATATCGGGAATTCGGTTCTATCTCTTAGTACCTATAGTGTCTAACTTCTCTAAAACATTAACTATATCGTTAAAATTAAAGGGACCGGCAAATCCTAGTAGCCTTTCTCCTATAACATCTTCCTCTATTATCGTAGCGATATATAAAAGAGCTATATTAGTAGCGTTAATATAATGCTAAGGAGCAAAGAGCTCTCGAAGTAGATATAACGTCTCCTTATCTCTATTCTAGAGTTTTTTGTACTAGCCTCTAGTCGAAGCTAGCTAGTTTTTGTATAGTATCCTTCTAATTACGCAATTTAGTAAGACTATATTAAAGACGAAGCCGGGCTTTTTTTCTCGAATAAATCGCTAGTACTCCTTCTCTACTAAAGTCTTGCTCGCGGCATATATAGCTAGCTTCCTTCGATAGCTAGTATATATTAGAGGAGCCTAGGCTAATTTAACGTCTATATCGTTCTAAGTATCTGTATTAATATAGAGCTTCTTATTAGGGGTCGCTATAGTGTATGCTAATACGGATAACGTATAGACGAAGCGTTTAACGCTTAGGGTAGCTACGGCTATATTAAGAATATTCTTTATACTAGATACTACTATTAGAATAATAGCATTCGGATCGGGATTTAAGGTAAGATCTGTCGCAATATACATTACTCCGACATAGTCTATAAATTAGATTCTTAGCTAATGTCGTTTAGATAACTAATATCTCTAATAGATGTCTAACCTTTAATAACCTCGTCGAATATATTATCGGTCGCTATATTAGGGACGATCTAGATATCGAGGACTTTATTCCCGTACTTGCTTAAGAACAGTTCTTATACATACCAAGTCTTGTATCTATTACGTACGGTGCCGCGAACATTATAGCTACGTTAAAGAAGCTGATTTGCAATATAACTAGCTACGTAGCTATTAAGACCCGTTACTAGGACAAGTAAGCCTAGAGGGATAGCTAGCATATTAATAAGTACTTATAGCCTAGGAAGAGCAAGGCAGTAAGAAAGATTAAGAGAAGGGAGACTACTTTAGTACGGCAGACCTTAGAATATACTACTCTAGAATATATATACTCTAGACCCCGCGCAACTCCTAGTCGTACTATAATTATAGTGTGCTACTATCTTCCGCACTAATTCTTATTAGACTTATTAGAAAGCTATACGATCGCCGGATAGCCGCCTTTACTACTTTAAGTAGCAGAATTCCCCTATTTGCGCTCTATTTAACAATATAAAACACCTATCTCGGACTCGAAAGCAATCTGCGATAGTTTTATATTATCTAGGCTTGTTTTAGGAACTTCTTCTCTATCTTACTATTATACTTGCTTCTTTCGAAAGGAACGAGCTCTACGATTAACGGCTGCCTCCGCTATCTTATAGTCTCGACTATACAATTTTTCCGCGGCCTTTTTATCCTTCTACTTAGTTCTAAGCAAACGATCCTAGAATTGGAAGTAAAGTGTATAGTTCTTCTACAATAAACGTGTTACTACGCAAAGTTAAATATATATACGTCTAACTATACCTTAAAACCCTATAATTAATAATGTTTATTATAGTAATAAGCGCCGACCGAGGTAAAGATATTAACCGGGTTCTACGGGATTCGGTATCTACTATAATTAGTACAAGCCCTAGCTAAGCAGAAGGCCGAGAAAACTATGCTTTCTCTTATAGACATTCCTATTCCCTAGACTATAAGAATAAATACTCCGACGCTTAGGAATAGGGTCTTAAAAGGTTAGTCGTAAATCCTAGCCTAACTATAGGGCACGTATAGCTCGTACTAACGAGCGTAGAAGGTCTCTGCTTAGTAATTAGTTTGTAGTATAGTCGATCGTCTTCTACGCTTACTATATAGCTAGGTATTGTTATATTCGGTACGACAGATAAAGTAGACCTAGGTATCTACTAACTAGAGGGCAGTATAGAATTGTACCGCCGGCACTACGAAGTAATATAACTAAATCGATATGTTTCTCTCCGCCGAGCCTTTATTAGCTATTCCTTTAAGTACGGCGAAAGTTCGAAGGAATAGACGAACCTAGATAGCTAATTTCTTAAGCTCTTCCTCGATATTAGGGGAGGTATCTTCCCTAGAAATTATATTAAGGCTAACGCTAAGAGCTGTCTGCATAATCTTAATCCTTTCTATAAATATAGTCTCGTAAAGATAAATGCGAACTTATATACCTAAATCAAAATAATACGGCGGAGACACTCCTACCGTCTAATAGTATTCTTATGCTTTTCTTCTTCTTTGCTATAGATTCTATATTGCTCGAAGATCCGGAACTGCTTAAAGATCCCGTAGATAGCTGAAACTAACTAGTGCGTTACTATAGGAACTAGTAAGGACAGGTTCTAATCTAAGAGTCTAGGAATCAGCTCTGTACTACTAGTTACCGGCTGCTCCTATTGCTCTATAAATTTATCTCTACTAGTTACATTTATCCTAGATAGAAAAGATACAGATACTACGGCTTATAAACTCGATTCCTTCGTATAGGTTTAAGTCTATATAGAGGTAGCAACAACTTAGCCTCGGCTTGCTTCCTAGAGCTTTCTATATATACGCTATGTTAGAGCTATTATAGTTAACGTAGCTCGGATATAACAAGAGTTTAGCAGGCTACAAGGGTAAATGTTAACCTCTAGTAGAGACTTAAGCTAAGGTACAGTATTGCTTATAGATTTTATTGCTATCCTTGTTATTAAGATAGGAGACACCTCGTGCGATATTTATTAGCCTATATACGGACGAATTTAAAAGCGAAGAGTCGAACACTACTTAGCTCTACTACCGATTGAAAGTAACTAGAGCTAGCACACTTTAAATAGAACACATTGCGCTACTACGCCTTTAGTAAGACTAGCGGAAGGCGAGTATACTTAGTCTTCGGTAGCTCGCTACTTGCTTCGAAGTCTAGCAAATAGTCTATTTATAGCTTCGGCTGCATCTAATATTTAGTAAACAGCGACTTAGCTTAAGCCTAGAAAATACAGAATATAGTAATAGCCTAAGCAAGTTTTAGTCCTACGATCTAAAAGGACTTTGTAGAATACTTATATCTTCTGTTTTTGCTTTCCCTCGTCTGTTAAGAAGATAGACTTAGGCAAACTTAGTCCTATCGTTTATATAGGTTACGAGCTCTTACTAGACTGTCTCTATTTACGAAAGGATTAATCTTAACTCGAAAGACTTTCTACCGTCTACTATGTTAGTAAGTTCCTCGATTACTTCTACTAGTAAAGTTATAGTATCGATACTAGCTATAGTAACGACCTCTTTAGTTGTTATAAATATATACGCCTTTACCTTAGTAGGAATGCTATGTTGCCTATAATAGTATTAGGCCTAAATATTTAACTAAAGTATCGGATCCTTGTCCGTAAACCTATAGTATATATTAGTAAGTTCTATTATAGAGGGATCTAAAGATTACGTACAAGCTATTATAATAAGTACGAAGCTTATAAGTAAAGAGAGAAATAGATACATAGCCTGCTTCTCCCGCGAGTATAGCTTGCTCTATCGTAAACAAAGTAGTAGCTAGTGTTTTAATTCTAACTTTAGTAAGTCTCCGGCAGGCTTAAAGGCCTTCCTAAGTAGTAGGAACTTTTATAATTAGCCTCGACCGGTCGAAGGAAGGTTGCGGAATATAAGATATAGCGTAGAAGCCTAGCAGATATTTATTAAATTCTAAATATGTCTTAGGAAGTCTCGGAAGTACGAACGGTATCTAGTCGTCTAGACTTTATCTACGTCCTAGGAATAGAAGGGATTATATAAAACATAGATATAGTTTACCTAACCGCGAAACGAGCGCGTCTTCCCTACTATAATAGGTAGACAGTCGAAAAAATAGCAGCGAACAATTAGAGACGAAGGGAAGACAGTTAAGAAGGAAGGGAGGACGAATAGAAAGTACTATATACTAGGGCAGAGGAGGTACTAAAGGCGGAAGATAGAAGAACCCCTAAGAGGGCATATAGGATAATAATCTTAGAACTCCTTAGAAGACTAAAAGCAATCTACAACTAGGCAAGCTACGTAATTATAAAGGTAGCTAATACAGTCGTAGCAAAGATTACGAAGAAACAATAGGAGACAAGCCTAAACTACCGCACCTAGGCAGTAGTAGCTAGTTAGGAGGCGCTAAAACCCCCGAGGATAGTAGTTAGAGTCTATATTACGGACCTATAGGAGTAAAAGGAAATCTAAGGACTTATAGGGAAAGAGATTATAGAAAGAATTGCAGTTAAAGAGGTAATTAGGGCTAGGAACGAAGGTAAAGGGGTAATTAAGCTGTTTATAGCACAAGAGCAGGATAAAAAGAAGCTAGAAATATAAAAAGAATAGACAACTAAGATAGGGAAAACAGCAAAGGTCTCCTAATAGCAATTTATAATTATAGCCTATAGTATAATAAGAAGCTTTAAGGAAGAACAGGATATTAAGAGCCTATAGAGACAAAACTAAGCTATATGCCTAGGCCTAAAGATCACAAAAGTGGTATAGATTAAAAGGAAAATCGAAGAGACTAAGAAGTAGTCTTCCCTAATTATCTAGATAGGGAGTATAGAGCAAGCCAATATAGTGCTAGACTAGGGGTTATTCTAGGACTTTAAAAGATTAGAAACAGAGATATATAGAAGCAACTATAGGATAATGCAGTGCTTCAAATATTAACACTATAGACACTTAGCAGCTAAGTGTATAAAGACAACTAATACCTGCTCCTATTATATAGGGGATTACTAGGTTAAAGAATACAAAGCATACAAGGGAGAAGCAAGATATATATACTGTACTAAAAGATACCCCTCTTAGGCGAAGGAATGCCTAGTAAGAATATAGGCAGCTAGGAAGGTAAAGGAAGCTAGAATTAATACACTAAAAAGATATATAACAAGCTAGGGCAGCTAGGTACAGAAGCAACCTAGCTAAGTGCTACAAAAGAGGTCTAGACAAGATAATAGGTTCATATTTAGGGCCTTACTAGCATAAGAGAGTTACTAGCAACTAGGGAGACTAAGATACCTTAATATTATAGGAAAGGAAGCAGGGCAGACAAAGCTTAGTTAAATATTAGTCTAAAGTAAGGGAAGACTAAAGGAAAACTTATAGGGAAATAATATAGATAAAACCTAATAAATATTGCAGCATTACTAAACATTATATAGTACAATATTAATAAGAGCAAAGACAAGGTACAGAGGAGCTTCCTTTAAGTACTAAACCTAAAAGAACATTATATTATTGCAATCTAAGAGCCCTAGCTCAACCTATATACAAAGAGACTAGCAATAGTTAAAGACTTAAGATACTACCTAATTATCTACAACTAGGGAGCCCTAAGGATATATATCTATATTAGTAAGGAGATAGATATAGAAACCTAGCAGGCTATACTATAGGAGGATAGGGACCTAATATCAGTTTAAGTAGAGACATCCTAAGGTACACTCTAAGTCTACTATATATACAACCTACTACTAGACTTAAGAAGCAGTACCTAACTGAAAACCCTAGAAAGACTACCTAGAGTTATCTAGGGGAACACCTACTAAATCCTACTTAGGGATTTCAACCTCTACTACCCCCTCTAAGGCTTAGACTTTACCCTAGCTTACTACTTCCTAGTAGGAAGACTAATTAATATATTAGAGAGGGAAGGAATAGAAATTGTTACCCTAAAGGGACTAATTACTTAGGAGGCAAGAGGAAGCAGTAGTATACTAGACCTATACTTTGTATTATACTAGATTAGGAATAGGATTACAAGATATAGGGTTAACTAGGAACTAGAAGAATTATTAGACTACTTCCCGGTACAGATTAAGCTAAATGTCTAAGCTAATTAGGAAAGGGAACTAGAGGAGAAGCTTAACTAGAAAGGTGCCTAATAGGGCAGGATTAGGGAGGAACTAGAAAGGGACCTAAAACTAGAGGAACTCTTAACAAAGCACCTACTAAGGCTAGAGGACATTAATAAGGTAGTAGAAGAACTAATAGGAATCCTAAAATAGGTAGCTAGAAAGCATACCCTAGTAAAGAAACATTTACTATACTAGCAACTATACTAGACTAGTAAGTATATAAGGAAGGTTAAAGCAGCAAGGAAGGCTAGGAGGTAGTAGACATAAACCTATACCTAGGAAGTATAGGACAACTATAATAAAGCCTACTAGGAAAAGAAGATCTAGATTAAGAAAGACAAGATACAAGAATAGAGATCTATAATAGGAATAATTATAAAGAAACTAGAGGAGATATAGAGGATAGCTAAATAGGTAAGGAGACCTAAATAGGATAAGGATATACTACTACAATTCCCGGACATTATAGACTAATAAGGACAAATGCAGACTATAATAGAAGGGAAAGCAAGAGCCCTAGGCTAACACTTCTTCTATAGAAAAGTATAAGCAGACCTATTAGATATAAAGGAGAAAGAATAAGAGACTCTACTACTAGGTATACTAAGAGATACCTAGGTTAAATCCGAAACTATTAAAAGGATCCTAAAGAAAATTCTAGGCAATAAGGCACTAGGAGAAGACAAGATCTACAACAAACTTCTAAAAGTATATAGGAAGGGGCTAGCCCTAGCACTAGCTAATATCTTTTTATAAAGCCTAGCACTAGGATACTACCTAAGACTATTTAGGAAGTCCCTAACAGTAGTGCTAAGGAAGCCCTAGAAAGAAGACTATACGCAGCTTAAGGCCTATAGACTAATAGCCCTACTCAATACAATAGGTAAGGTACTAGAAAAAATTGTCGCTAAAAGGCTAACAACCTTTACCGAGGAAAGGAATATCCTTCCTAAAGGCTAGATAGGAGGAAGAAAGAAGAGGTTAATACTAACAGCTATAGAACTAATTACAGAATAGATTAAGTATATCTAGTACTATAGTTAAAACTAGGTAGCAACCCTCCTCTCCCTTAATATCTTAGGAGCCTTTAATAATGTCTCCTATAAAAGGCTCCTATATATACTTAAACAGAAAGCTATACTAAACTGGATAGTCCAATTTATCTAGTCCTTCCTATAGGAAAGATTAACATAGCTCATTCTAGGCAAATTCAAATTAGACCTAATACTAACTAAAAAGGGAATCCCTTAAGGATTAACACTCTCCCTAATCCTCTTCCTTATCTTTATAGCAGACCTACTCCTACTCCTAGAATCAAAAAACATATTAGTATTAGGGTTTATAGATAATACAAACATCCTAGCCTAGTCTAAGACAATAGAAACTAACTGCAAGATCCTAGAAGAGAAGCACTAAGAGTATAAAAAATAGGCAAGGAGGCATAGAGCAAAATTCGCCTTAGAAAAGTACTAGCTTATCTACTTTAGTAAGGCTAAATCAACCTACAATATAAAGTAATTAATTACTATCTAAGGTTTTAAAACCCAACTATTAGTAGAGCTTAGGGTACTAGGGATCTAGCTAGATCCAAAACTGAATTAGGGACTATAAGTAAAGAAGGTAAAGCAGAGGGTAGATACTAATATACAATCTATTAATAGGCTTATAGCCTCTATATAGGGGGCTATATTCGAGAAAGCTAAAGTTATATATAAAGCAATTGTTAAGCTAGCAATGCTATATAGAGTATAGATATAGACAGCCTAGGAGAAAACACTAAAGAGGATTGAGCAACTAGTTAGTAGGTCCTAAACCTAAAGCCTAAAGAAAATCCTAGGAGTATACAAAACTATACTAATAAGGGTAGTAGAAATAGAATTAGGGACCCTACTAGTTAAACAATACTTCAAGGGACTAAGATACTAATATACAGCAAAGACAATAGAATACCTAGCCTAATAGACTATCTAAAAGGCACTAGACAAGATAAAAGCCTAGTGTATTAGGACTAGGAGGCGAGACAGACTACAAATAACTCCCTAGAAAGTTAAAGACCTAGAGCAATATAGAGTCTTAATAAGAGAAATGCTAGAGAAAGAGCTTTAGGGACTAAATATAAGGCTAAAGGAAGACAAGCTAAAGGGAGAGAAACAAAGCCTAGTAGAATCAATTACTAGATACCTATAGGAGCAGGAATAGAACAAAACATAAGTTAGACTAGGAACCCTAAAGGTACTAATCAAATTTAGTTAATATAACTACTAGCTCTATAAGGACCTAAATAGGGCCGAGGTAAGCCTAGCTATCTAAATCAGATCTAAATATATTAGACTTAGATCTTACCTATTTAGAAGAAACGTCCTAGGAATTGAAAGTAAGGCTTACTAATATAGCTACTAATCTTAGAATCCTAAGCATATGCTGCTAGTCTGCCCTTAATAGTTAGAAGGCAGAAGTGATTAGAGACTAAAAGCAATAGAAAGGGAATACGACAAGCTAATCTAAAGCAAAGAAGACCTAAAGAGGATAGTAAAGTAGATTATTAAACAGGGATTTGTATAATAATTCGCACTAGCAAGGGAAACTAAGGAGTAAATAAGAAGGAGGGAAGAAGAGGGGGAAAGAAGGGCAGGGCAGTAGGCAAGGTAGTTAGAGGGTAACAACTATAATACTAGTATACCCTAAAGGAAGGAAAACAAGGAAACGAGGA